AGACGCAGTGAGAGAGAGAGAGAGACAGAGAGAGACAGAGAGAGAGAGGGAGGGAGAGAGAGAGGAAGAGAGGGGAAGGGAGGGGCGGGAGGAGGAAAGAGAGAGCAAGGCAGGAGGAAAGTGGATAAAGAGGGAGAGAAAGAGAGAGAGAGAGAGAGAGAGAGGAAACAGTGAAGATTACAGAGAGAATAAACACTGAGGACGAAGCAAATAAAGAAACAAAGCTGTAGGACGGTGGAGTGGAGAACGAGTTAGGAAGAGGTTTAATTGAATTTTAAAGCAGATCTGTATGTAGCTTTATATTAAAGTTCCTCCTCTGCCACAGAATACATAAAGAATAACTAGAAATCATTCAGCTCCTCCAGACTAACAGAATAAATGGTTCAGCGTCGCCTCTCATGAGTTTGTGTTTCACGAGTGCCCTGTCATCAGTATTACATCCTTTTGTCAGTGTCTTCCAAAATGCATATGACCTTTAACAAATGACTCATATGACCCCTTCTGTTGTGATCTGCCAGCTTTATAGTTAAAAGCAGGATTGACCGGAGGCCAATGTGCTCTTCCCCCCGGCAGCAACGTGCATTAGCTGTCCCAGAGAACAGCTATTTGTATCCCAAATCGTCGCAACCCAGCTACTGTACTACTTCCTCCGTCTGTGTTACGCATCAAGTGTGTGCTATGGGGCGCCAACATGTGCAGCACTTTAAGGTCATATCCAGACCGACAGTAGTGCTGCATGAACACAATGCAGCCTCCTCGTTCATGTCAGTGTGACCACTGACTGCAGAAAAAAAACAAAACACTAGGTTTGTCTCGCAAAAGAAAGAAGCTCAATCCAGCTCCTGCAACGCACTGTGCTGGACAATCGAATACATGCAGACACACATCTCTGGTAGATCGCTTTGTAATGTGAACAGAGGTCTTCAAACTCGTGGATCTGTAGCTCAAACTGGCCTTCCTGGACTGTTCATCATCATCTCACTGCTACCTGGAACAACCATTGCCGTCCCCTCGTAGTGCCTTTTTCAGTCTGAACGCCTGGTTAGGATTGGTTATGGTAACTTAAACTAGTTGGTGAGGTTAGGGAGAAAGCGTGATCACGGTTGAAAGACACCAACGTTGGCGGTTGGCAGAAGACCCTCAGTATCCCCGGATAATGGCAGGTCGCTGTGTAAAGACACAATTAACCAGCGTTGTACATTATTTGTTTGACTGACAGTATTTACCCTACATTCATATTCACAGCACGCCGTTATGACGGCGGTGCTGACGATTTCTGGCGAGGATAGACTCAGTGGGCACAGAGCGAAGCCTTCTGTTGGAATTCATTATCTTTGTTGGAAAGTCAAAGAGTTTAAAGCGGTGTCCTGATGCTGCACAAACTTACACATACGTCTACATTAAAACTAGTAAAATATTTAGAATGTGTGAATATTAAGGATAAAATAACCTGCATCATATGGAGAGCAGTGATACTAGGTGGGGGGCTTCTTCTTATCTCCCCCTTTGGTCATGTGACCAGGTCTCATAATAATGTGATCTGACCGTTGGCAGAGTGCGAGCAGTGATTTAGAAAGAGGAGAAACAGGGAGGAGGTCACTACTATCTGTGTGCTGACACAACTCCCAGTCAGTGTGTTGACATTAGGAACAAGTCTCCTGGGGCGTGTCACCTGGACTGAATTGTTTCTGGTGTGTGTGTGTGTGTGTGTGTGTGTGTGTGTCCACTGGTGTTCTTGCAATCTCATGCGAAGGTGCACGTGTCTGTGTGTTTGTGTGTGCATGGGCGAGTCTGAGCCTGCCTGGGTGTGTACATGTTTGCTGTAACTGTGAACTGAAATTACACCTGAAAACAGATGTTAAAGATGCTGTTAAACTATTTAAAATGATCACGTACACTAGAATTAAAACAGCTTCGGCGCAAAAAGACTATTTTAATTAATGATTATTGTTCTTAATTCTTTGTACTTAACACCAATTAAAATGTTTTGTTTTTTAAATAATACTAGTGCTAGTACTACTGATATACTACTACTGCTGCTACTATTAGTACTTATATTGCTGTTGGTGCTACTGCGACTAATAGTAAGTGTTAATAACAGCAGTAATTAATAGTGGTAGTACTTTTATTACTGTAAATGCCACTAATACTGCTGTTAACACTACAGATAAGACTACAAATAATACGACTAGTACTACTGCTTATTAATACTACTGCTAGTGCTGTTATTATTGTGTGTGCTTCTTTGTATCAGACATCTAGTACATAAAAGTACAACAGTTAAAAAAAAAAGAAACTTAAACTGTAGCTCAATTTGAATAATATTTAATAACTGTTTTTAAGCAATTGAAGATGCCAATAATGGCTTTATACATTAATATTGACCAAAACAATGAATATTAATCAGAAACCTAATGGGAGATCAA